TTGAAAGGAAAAAAAAGAAACCTGGGACTTCCTGATTAGTTGCAGAGCATGTAGCAATAAACAGAAATAAGGTCAAAATAGGAAGCCAGGAATTGAAAACTAAGGAATATAAGGGAGCAAATAAGCTATTCTTAACTGCGGTACAACAAGTAGGCAGTACCTAGGAGTCCAAACAAACATATATATCTATGGTCAGGAAAAGGCTGTAAGTCAAAAACCAAGGAGATAAAGGAGAATCCCAATGCCACAGGAGTTAATCAAAATGCCCAGTAGGAAGTAAGGAATTAAAAAAGGAAAAGCAAACCAAACACCATGTCTACGGCTTCATATGGTAGGCATTTAACAACATTTATTACATTAATGAATCAGTAAACTTTAAAGAGTTTTTCTTGCCTCTTGTTTGCTTACTCGGGAATATTGACTATCACATTCATGTATCCTTGATTCTAAGAAAATACAGTTTGGCTGACAATAAATATATATAATTCCAATATATGTAATCTTCTATAAGCACAGAAACTTAATCTTGCCTAAGGGGAAAACAAAAGGACTGCTAAAATTCAATCATGAACACTAGAGATAGAAGACCTTTGGAAGCACTATTTCTATCATTAACATGAATAGTCATTTCAATTATTTTCTTTACAATTTATATGTAGTGCAAGCTAAAAGTTATTAGGAGACAATTCAGCATCTGAAAACTTTAGGTAGAAATTCATGTAGATTCCAGGCAATGGGAAAAGAACTGTCAAGGGTAGATAAGAAAACAGATATGAGTCTTCAACAGAAGGCATGAAGTAAGAATGAAAAAGAACTAAGGCATGAAGTAAGAATGAAATTGGCAGGTACGGAGACTTATGATTAACTGGAGCATGGGGAAAAAAGGCAAAATGGTTGTCTGAGGAGGCCTTACAAATAACTGAGAAAAGAACAGAAGCTAAAGGCAAAGGAGAAAAGAAAAGATATACCCATTTGAATGCAGAGTTCCAAAGAATAGCAAGGAGAGATAGAAAGCCTTCCTCAGTGATCAATGCAAAGAAATAGAGGAAAACAATAGAATGGGAAGGATTAGAAATCTCATCAAGAACATTAGAGATACCAAGGGAACATTTCATGCAAAGATGGGCACAATAAAGGACAGAAATGGTATGGACCTAACAGAAGCAGAAGATATTAAGAAGAGGTGACAAGAATAAACAGAAGAACTGTACAAAAAAGATCTTCATGACCCAGATAATCATGATGGTGTGATCACTCACGTAAAGCCAGACATCCTGGAATGTGAAGTCAAGTGGGCCTTAGGAAGCATCACTACGAACAAAGCTGGTGGAGGTGATGGAATTCCAGCTGAGCTAAGCTATTTCAAATCCTAAAAGATGATACTGCTAAAGTGTTGCACACAATATGTCAGCACATTTGGAAAACTCAGCAGTGGCCACAGGACTGGAAAAGGTCAGTTCTCATTCAAATCCCAAAGACAGGCAATGCCAAATGTTCAAACTACCACACAATTGCACTCATCTCACATGCTAGTAAAGTAATGCTCAAAATTCTCCAAGCCAGGCTTCAACAGTATGTGAACCGTGAACTTCCAGGTGTTCAAATTGAATTGAGAAAAGGCAGAGGAACCAGAGATCAAATTACCAACATCTGTTAGATCATCAAAAACACAAGAGAGTTCCAGAAAAACATCTACTTCTGCTTTATTGACTACACCAAAGCCTTGACTGTGTGGATCACAATAAACTGGAAAATTCTTAAAGAGATAGGAACACCAGACCACATGACCTGCCTCCTGAGAAATCTGTATGCAGGTCAAGAAGCAACAGTTAGAACTGGACATGGAACAATAGACTTGTTCCAAATCAGGAAAAAGAGTATGTCAAGGGTGTATATTGTCACCCTGCTTATTTAACTTATATGCAGAACACATCATGCAAAGTGCCGGGTTGGATGAAGCACAAGCTGGAATCAGGACTGCCAGGAGAAATATCAATAACCTCAGATGTGCAGATAACACCAGGGTTAAGGCATAAAGTGAAAAGGAACTAAAGAGCCTCTTGATGAAAGTTAAAGGGGAGAGTGAAAAAGTTGGCTCAAAACTCAACATTCAGAAAACTAAGATCATGGCATCCAGTCCCATCACTTCATGGCAAATAGATAGGGAAACAATGGAAACAGTGAGAGACTATTTTTGGGGGCTCCAAAATCACTGCAGATGGTGTCTTCAGCCATGAAATTAAAAGACGCTTGCTCCTGGGAAGAAAAGCTATGACCAACCTAGACAGCATATTAAAAAGCAGACATTACTTTGCCAACAAAGGTCCATCTAGTCAAAGCTATGGTTTTTCCAGTAGTCATGTATGGATGTGAGAGTTGGACTATAAAGAAAGCTGAGCACAGAAGAATTGATACTTTTGAACTGTGGTGCTGGAGAAGACTCTTGAGAGTCCCTTGGACTACAGGGAGATCCAACCAGTCCATCCTAAAGGAAATCAGCCCTGAATATTCATTGGAAGGTGTGATGCTGAAGCTGAAACTCCAAAACTTTGGCCACCTGATGCAAAGAGCTGGTTCATTAGAAAAGACCCTGATGCTGGGAAACACTGAAGGCAGGAGGAGAAGGGGACAGAGGATGAGACTGTTGGATAGCATCACCGACTCCATGGACATGATTTTGAGTAAGCCCCGGGAGTTGGTGATGGACAGGGAATCCTGGAGTGCTGCAGTCCATGGGGTCACAAAGAGTCGGACACAACTAACTGGCTGAACTGAACTGGAGCATGGAGTTCTTGCCTGGGAAAGATTTATGGAGAAAGGAATAGCAGCAAGCAAAATTATGAAGAAGTGAGGACCCGAAGCGTAAGAGTTTGGACTAAGAAGAGCAGCTAAATTTTCGAGGTAATGACATGACAAAAATTGTGTTTTAAAAAAATTGGTCTTGTAGTTGTGTACAGGAAAAAGTGGAGATTGAAGACAGAAAATTAGGATACCATGGCAGTGATCCAGGTTTTTTAGTGCCTTTTATAGAATAGCCCATGTCTAATTTTTCTCAACCTGGACTACTAAGGCAAAAAGGAGTTAAGAAATTCTGAAAAAAAACATAAATTCATATAACTACCCCACCATAAAATCAGTTACTACCAAAAATAATTTTCTTCTATAATTCTGAAGAAAATCTTTTTACCTGGATTCTGAGAGACCAAATAACAGACATCATTCACAGCCTTAAGGAAATCTGAAAAATCCAGCATTCCATTAACTATAAGAAATGATTCAGAAAAAGAAAAAGACTCCATTAGCAAATTTATCAGCAGATTCACTAAGCATATAAGATAAAAGTACAAACTAAAAATGTGACTAGAATTAACTGACAGTAGAATACCATAGTCTACACACAAGAGCAGTCATGTGGTAGTTCTATTTTTAGTTTTTAAGGAACCTCCATACTGTTCTCCATAGTGGTTGTACCAATTTACATTCCCATCAATGGTGTAGGAAGGTTCCCTCTTTTCCACATCTTATCCAGCATTTATTGTTTATGCACTTTTTGATGATGGCCATTATGACCTGTGGCTCCCTTAATAACAAGCTTTGAATGGTCTGTAAAAGTAATGCGTTCTCTATTATTTACTTCTTTGTCAAGTATCAAACATTGAGTGCAAACATATATTTTTTTCTAGGTTTCTGCTATTGTTCAATAGTCCAATCATGTCCAATTTCTCTAGCTACTTAAAGTGCAATTTATTAGGGTTTTATTTTTATGTCCTTGAACAAGAGTGATGTTGAACCTATTTATACATAATTATTGACTATAAGTGTTACATTTTATGTGAAATACTTGTCCATGTGTTTTGCCTTCTTTTCTATTTCATTAATTGTTATCTATTTGTATGAATTCTTTACACATTTTGTAAACTAATCATTTGTCAATTGTGTGAATTGCAAATATCTCAAAGTTTGTAACCTGTCTTTTCACTTTCAGGTGTCTTTTTAAATGTGTGTGCTAAATTGCTTCAGTCATATCCAACTCTTTGCGACCCAATGGACTGTAGCCTACCAGGCTTCTCTGTCCATGGGAGTCTCCAAGCAAGAACATTGGAGTGAGTTGCCATGCCCTCCACCAGGGGATCTTCCCAACTCAGGCAATGAATTTTAATATAATTAAATATATCAAATATATTAATCTCAAACATTTTTTGCTTTAAGAAATTTTCCCTATCCCACGCCATTTCATACTAAGGCAACTAGCAAAAATTCAAAGTCTAAAAATATCAAATGTTGATGACAGCATGTCATAAGCCAACCTAGTAATCAATCAATTCAGTCATGTGTATCTGAGGCCCAATTTTTTAATATCATTATTGTAAATGTGCACAGAAGTTTTTTTTATAACATTTTAAAGTTTAGCTTTTCTATCATTTGTAATTATAATCTGACCATGGCAAACCTAGATAGTATATTAAAAAGCAGATACATTACTTTGCTGACAAAGGCCCATATAGTCAAAGCTATGGCTTTTCCAATAGTCATGTATGGATGTGAGAGTTGAGAAGAAGGCTGAACGCCGAAGAATTTATGCCTTCAAACTGTGGTGCTGGAGAAGACTCTTGAGAGTCCCTTGGACTACAAGATCAAACCAGTCAATCATAAAGGAAATCAGTCCTGAATATTCCTTGAAGGACTGATGCTGAAATTCCAATACTTTCGCCACCTGATACGAGCAGCCAGCTCATTAGAAAAGACCCTAAGGCTGGGAAAGATTGAAGGCAGGAGGAGAAGGGGACGACAGAGGATGAGATGGTTGGATGGCATCACTGACTCAATGGACATGAGTTTGAGCAAACTCTGGGATATGGTGAAAGACAAGGAAACCTGGTGTGCTGCAGTCCATGGGGTCGCAGAGTTGGACACGACTGGGTGACTGAACAACAACAACATCTAACTTATGTGCATGACTGTAGACCCCCTAAACTAATAATGAAAACACAAAAACTTACCATCAATATCAATAGTCTTCAGTGCCTTTCGCATTTCTGTGTCACTTATAGAGATCTTCAAGATTCGATGGATCATTGGCAGATCATTCACATAAATCTTACCACCTCGAATTTTACTAAAAATTTTACAGGCTTTCTGAAGTGCTGAATACACATAACAAAACAGTTAATTAATTCAAGGGAATAATCATTTATTCTCCCCATCCTCTCCGGGGTCGGGGCTGAGGTGCAGGTGGGGGACAATCACTAAAGAAAAAGAGGAACAAATCTTTCTGTTCCAACTCTTTGCTTTAACATCAGTCTTGTTATTTACTTGGGTATGTCTTGAGCCAGTGACCTCTAAGCCTATGAGTTTCTAAAGAATTCTCAGAAACTATCAGAAAACTCACGCAAGGTTCACATAAGCAAAGGCTTCCACAACTTATCCTGGGCATGTTAAACCCTTCTCTGCTTCCTTATAACTTGTGTGTGTATCAGTCAAAGCTCTTGGTGTTCTGACTACTTGCATGTCAGTATCCTTCAGTTAAACTGTCAGCTAATAGAGGGCAAGATTTTTCATTCTTCAAGTCCCAGAATCTACTTCAGAAAAGATTCTCAAAAAATGTCTACTGAACTAAATTGGGTTGAATTCACCTTGTTTTCAGAAAAAGAGGCAACAAATAACAGTGATAAATACCAGAAAAAGACTTTTAAAAAGACACTAATGACTTTACTAATAGAAGTTTCACTTCTGGAAGTTTCTGGAAACCAGATTTCAGTGAAGTAGGAAGTAAATACTAAAGCAGTACTAAAGAATGTTCAAACCTTTGGACATTTGCACTCATCTCCTGTAGTAGTAACATCATGCTTAAAATCTTGCATGCTAGGCTTCAGCATTATGTGAAGCAAGAACTTCCAGATGTCCAAGCTGGGTTTAGAAAAGGCAGAGGAACCAGAGAGCAAATTTCCAACATTTGCTGTATCATAGAGAAAGCAAGGGAATTCCAGAAAAACATCTACCTCTTTTTCATTGACGGTGCTAAAGCCTTTGACTGTGTGGATCATAACAAACTGTGGAAAGCTCTTAAAGAGATGGGGATACCAGACTACTTTATCTGTCTCCTGAGAAATCTGTATGCAGATCAAGAAGCAACAGTCAGAACCAGACATGGAACAACAAACTGGTTCCAAACTGAGAAAGGACTATGACAGAGCTGTCTGCTGTTTATTTAACTATAAGCTAAGTACATCATGAGAAATGCCGGGCTGGATGAGTTACAAGCTGGAATCAAGATAGGCAGGAGAAACATCAACAACTTCAGATATGCAGATGATACCACTCAATGGCAGAAAGCAAAGAGGAACTAAAGAGCCTCTTGATGAGGGTGAAGGAGGAGAGTAAAAGAGTTGGCTTAAAACTAAATAGTAAAAAAAAACTAACATCATGGCATCCAGTTCCATTACTTCAACCTGGATGAAGTAATAACCAATGCCATGGTCATGAACTTGGGCAAACTTCGGGAGATGGTGAAGGACAGGGAGGCCTGGCATGCTGCAGTCCATGGGGTTGCAAAGAGTCAGACACAACTGGGCAACTGAACAACAACAGGAAGTAAACAATAATTAATGAAAACAACTCTTTCAATAAGCTTCTCTGAAAGAGTATAAAGCTGACAAAGCATTGTCCCTAAGGAAGCAGAAGAAAATAAAATTGAAAAAAAGAGAAGTGAAAGGATCTGTCTTGTGAAAGTGACTCTTTCTCAATGAGACAATACAGAAGGCTATGGATTTCATTTATAGTCAAGGAGTTCAGGAAGATTCTGCCAAACAGTCTTTATTAACCCTCTATGAAAAAGCAATGTCATATTTTAAGAATTGAAGGACTAGGTGATAGGATTGAAGATTTGAAGAGAACAATGAAGATGTGAAATAAGTACAGGAAGAAACAGGAGATCTGATCAAAACAAAAGGGGATACCAACTGGTGCTAAAGGCAGCTCAGGTTGGAAAACAGAGAACAAGACATTAAAGTCTGAGGTTTCAACATTATAACAATGATCAAATGGTGGACATCAGGGTTGGTGAGAGAAATTGAAGTAATAATTAGTTTTAAAAAGTATTGTATGAGTATTACATGAATCAACCACTTGGACACTAAAGATGTCTTTAAAGACACTAAAGATATGTGGCCCTGCCTCTCCGGAAAGACTAACCAGAATACCTGGAAAGCTACTTGGGGTCAGTTCTAATACTCCATCTAGACAAGGGAGCTAATTCACATCTCCATCTAATGCTGAGTTGTAGCTCCTGGTTCTGCCTGACCAGAAAGCCTGACCCAAACACCTAGGAAGCTATGCAGCCCGGCAATCCTGGAATGGAGAGTCCAGCAAGCAGAACTGGTCATCCACAGAAAAAGTCAGTGCCCTGCTTTAGCCAGGGAACTTTGGAGCACAGGTCTGCTTGAGTCAAGACCACAAACAAAAAGCCTTTCCAGCTTTGGAGCTGGTTCTCCTGCTTACCCAGAGAGAGGAAGTAATTCACAGCCCAGTGCACTGCTGAATGGAGCTTCTGGCCCCGCCTGACCAGGAAGCCTGGCCTGAACACCTGGGAAATGACATGGTCCAGCAGTACCTGAGCAGATAGCCTGGCTAGTGGGTCTGTCTGCTTGTAGAAACAAGCCAGCAACTGCATCTGGCCAGGATGCACAGATCTATCTGATTAGCTCCCCAAACAAGAGTCTTATCAGCCTTGGAGCCTGTTCTGCTGAAGATAAACTCCAGTCCTATTAACTAGGAATCCTAAACAGAGCTCCTGGGAATCTCAGTAGGCCACCCTGAAGCCTCTATTACATTGGCATTTGAGCAGAAAACCCAACCAGCAACTCTGCATCTGCAAAGCCAAGATGGTGGCTTTGTCTGTCCAGGGGGTTTGGTGCAGACATCTGTCTGATTTGATTCCCAAACAAAGAGCTTTACCAGTCCTGGGGACCTGTCCTTCAGTCCCAACCAGGCAGGAAAGGTAATTTATAGCCCCATTGAAAACTGAATATAAAGGCTCCAGTCCAATTTGACCAAAAAACTTAACCATAACTCCTGAGAATCTCTATACACCATCTTGCAACTCCAATTACAATGGCACTTGAGATAGGCCCACTGCTGGCCCTACCTGTCTGCAGACAGGATGGTAGATCAGTAGACCAGGGAACTTGGTGCATAATTCTGCCCAACTTGATACCCAAACAAACCTTGCAGGTCTTAGGGCCTATATGGTGCCTTGCTCAACAAGGAAACTAATTTATAGTCCCACACACTGTTGAACACAGCCCTTTAGCCTGCCCAACCAGGGGACTTAACCAGAGCACACGGGGAGCTGTATAACCCATCCCATAGCCCTCTTTACAGCAACAGTTGAACAGATAGCAGAGCCCAGGGTTTTCTCTGTCTACAGAGCAAAACTGGGTTATCTAACTAAGAAACTCAGTGCTGTCTAGCCTGATTCAGATTTCCAAACAAAAAGCAGTGCATTCCTTTGGGACCAGTTCTATTGCCTTGCAAAGCTCAAAAGTTAATTCATAGCCCTGCCTACTAGTGAGTATAGAACCCGGTCCTGACTGACCAGAGAACCCAAGCAACACAGAACCTTTCCTATAGCTTCATTTAGGGGACAAACCAGCAGTTCTAGCCAGCTCTTCTGAACCAGTGCATCCCCTCCCCAATCTTAGAACATGAGCAGTGGCCTAGCCCTAAAAGAGACTCTGATAGCAAGACCCACCTTCCCAAGGACATTACCAGTTAACACATCCAGAAACAGAAACTAAGCTGACTGGTGAAAAACTGTCTCTGCTAAAGCAAACCAGTAATATCTGGAAAAGGAGATCACTTACTCAAATGTAGATGCCAATATAAGGAATCAAAGATAATGAAAAATTACATAAATGTGACACTACCAAAGAAAACTAATAAAGTTTCAATAACTGGCTCTAAAGAAATGGAAATCTATTAACTGTCAGCCAAAAAACAAGAAGCTCAACAAAGAAACAGAAAATATTAAAGAAAAGAAAATAAAAAGAAATCCTAGAAATGAAAAATACAGTGAATTTAACAAGAAAATTAAATAGCTTTAAAAACAAACTGAACCACATAGAAGAAAGAATCTAAAGAAAGAACATTTAAAATTACCCAGGCAAAAAAAGGAAAAAAGAGCAAAGAGATCCTATAGGACTTATAGGATACAAACAAAAGAAACAATATCTGCATTACAGGAATTCCAGGAAGAGAAGACAAAGAGAAAGAAACAGAAAATATATTTTAAAACAACAATGGCTGAAAACATCCCAAACTTGGGAAGATAAACGGACATTCAAATCCAAGAGGCCTAAAGGATCCCAAAATAGTTTGAACCCAAATAAGGTTACACAAAGATACTTTATAATTAAACTGTCAAAAGTCAAAAACAAAGAAAGAACTTTGAAAGCAAGGAGAGAAAAGAGACAAGAGAATCCTGTAAGGCCACTGGCAAATTTTTCAACAGAAACTTTTCAGACCAGGAGAGAATGTAATGATATACTCAAAATACTGAAAGAAAAAAAAAAATCTATCAAGCAAAGAAACCTACCCCTTTAGAAAGTCATCAAACTTGGAAAGAAATAACTTAAATTGTCTCTTTGAGAACACAGAACACATAATCAGGAAATTTATTCAAGAAATTCTGAAACCTATTATTACCGCTTAATTCTTCTGAGTAAAAGCATCCTTCAGGTACTTCATCATATAGTGTCTGGTAAAGGTTAGAAAGTTTTTCATCTTTCCTGTCAAAGAAACAGCCACATCAGAAAGCAAGAAAACAAAAATAAAACAAAAAACCCACAAAACTTTTATGTCATTTTGTGATATATAATATTTTGCCATTAAAATTTAGCCTGAAATTCTCATCTCTTACACTCCATAAGAACCTTTCTTTAAAAACTGTCCAAGTGATAATCAGTTATTACATATTCTTCACCCTAGAATTCTCACTTATTTCTTTTAGGTATATCTCTATGAAGCAGATTTACCCTAGTCAATATGTAATATCTCTTGACTGTGGTCCACTTTTTCCTATTCCTAATACAACTTACAGCAAATTTTATAGAAAGTTATAACTTTCCCCGGGTGGCTCAGCAGGTAAAGAATCTGCCCATAATGCAGCAGACACAGGAAATGCAAGTTCAATCCCTGGGTGGGAAAGATCTCCTGGAGAAGGAAATGGCAAACCAATCCAGTATTCTTGCCTAGGAAATTCCAAGGACAGAGGAGCCTGGTGGGCTACAGCCCATGGGGTCACAAAACAGTCGGACACAATTTAACGACAACAACATTATAAGATAAATAAGAATATCTTTAAATAGTCAAAGAATCTCAGCTCCCATAACCTGTTGATAAAAACATCTTAAAAAGATGATTCATCTGATTACATAACATGGAAATCACAGGATGTTGGTGTTGGAAAAAATATTAAAGAGTCCATCTAGTACAAGATTCTTATACAGATGTGGAAACTGAGGCCCAGAAATACAAAGTGAATTCTATAAGAGTCTAAACCAGCATGTGAAGTCCATCAGGACTCAACTCTAAGCCTTTCAATTCTACATGCAGGGCTCTTAGTGCCACACCATCCTTCCTAAGAGCAGTCTTAGTTAGCACAAACTATTCGGCATACTTTCTGTAGAAGGAAGAAATGAATGCTGTAGAAAAATCCCAAATCTGAATCCAATATTTTAAAAAAATACAATGATTTAAATACCGAATAACTGAGGAAGATTTATCAAGAGGTGACAAAGTCTTGTGAATGCTGTACTGACTTGGCAACTTGCATAAAGAGCTTTCTTTTCTAGTCATCTTCTCCTTCACAGACAAAGGAGCAACCTAGAGCCAAATGCAAGAATATCTGTGTCTCAGATCACACTGGTAAACTGGCATTCTTAAACAATAAATCCCTTAAAACATAATTAATCATACCTAGGCTCCAATCATACCTATACCCAATTACTATACTTCTAATATAAAATTACTTTTTGTAATTAAATTACAGCTTATAATACTAAAATTTTAAATAAACTCCATCATATTCTTTGACAAAGCCACATTTTTCTTAAGTATGCAACATCATCTCATAATTAATGCTGTGTCAATTTATAGTAATGTATTTTACAAAAGATAGCAAATCTATGGTATAGTGAAGACAAGACTATCAAACTCTAGGCTACATATACAAGTTTTGACTATATAAGTAAAAAAATGTGAAGAATCAACACAGTTATTTAAATAATACAGGTAAGTGTGCTTTAAATTATTCTTATGGTTAAGAAAACCTCCATAAACATTGATAAAAATAACACTGCATGTATAAAGATAGTTCAAAAATGACAAACAGCTTAAGCAGATAGAAAAATGTCACTTTAGAAAATAAGAACTGAATTCTAGGTGTCTTCAATTTCACATGGCTCTATGGAAGGAACCTAGAGCCTTGACTTTTTTTTTTTTTTGGCTGCACTGTTCAGGTTGCAGGATCTTAGTTCCCCAATCAGGATTTGAATCTTGGGCCCACTGCAGTGTAAGCCCAATTACTAACCACTGGACCTCCAAGGAATTCACTGGAGCACTAACTTGTAAAGACCATGCACGATCCAGAGAGGACTCTCAAACCATACAAGACTGAGAGGAATACGAGTTAATGAGTGAGAATCAAACAAAACAACAAACAGAAGATTTCAATCCCCCAATGACTTCATATCTAGATTTATCAGATATCAATCCTAAAATAATTATGGGACATAAGCAAATAATATAAGGCAAATTTTAAGAACTAAATAAAACTTCAAAAAGTAAAATGTATAGACATTAAAATTTTAGTAGATAGGTTAAACTGCAAATTATATTTGGCTGGAAAAAAGAAAAGTCAACAAGAAAGTAGATGGGAGAAATTACTCAGAACAAAATAGAAAAAAATCAAAAATATGAAGCAATATTAAAAAACACAGAAAACAAAATGATAAGGTCTAACACACATCTAACAGAAGATACAGAAGAACAGAATAAAGAGATTGGAGGAGGGAAAATAGTCTAAAGATAATGGATTCGCATTTTCCAGAGTTGAAGACATGTGTTCTCAGCCTCAGTTCAGTTCAGTCACTCAGTCGTGTCTGACTCTTTGCGACCCCAAGGACCACAGCACGCCAAGCCTCCCTGTCCATCACCAAATTCCTGTAGCCACTGCTGAGTTTTCCAAATTTGCTCAGCCTCAGGAAGCAAACAAATATCGAAATAAAGGAATATATACTTAAATATATCATACAGTGAATGTAGTAGGTCACATAACCCCACTAAGAGATGTCTATATCCTAATCCCTGGAAAATGTGAATGTGACCTTATTTGCAGAAATGGTCTTTACAGTGTAATCTCAAGTTAAAGACCTCAAGATGAAAGACACAATGATGTGCTTATAAGAGAAAAGTCTGAACTGTAGACACGGGGGAGAAGGCCATATGAAGAGCAACATGAAGGCCAAGATTGAATTCATGCTGCCAAATGCCAAGGAATGCCAGAGTCACTGCTACAACAGCAGAAATGTTAACAGAGAGCATAATAATAAAAAATGCTGGTCTGATGGATAAAGAAGGGGAAAAATTAATATTCTTCTTGAAAGTTTCCATGTTCTATTGATATTTTTAAAGGAGTTACAGCAGAAAGAGAAGGTGCAGGAGGAATAGGGTAAAGGAGCTGGAAGAAGAAGAAATATTTAAGATTATGACATTTCAATACTTGGACTAAAATGTAATGGATTATTTGAGGGCTAAAGAAAATACTTGAAAGCAAAGCAAAAATATTTGCAAATCTTTATTTACCTCAGTTCTTCTAGTATGCAATTGTACTTGTAAACTCTTCTTCCTCCTGCCTTTTTTTTCTCCTGAAAAGTCAGAGGATTTTTCCTCTCCGAGTAGGAACATTGATGTTTCATACCTAAATTGCACAGAAAATTGGAGTAATTCCTGAATTGATTTTTTTTCTTGATTCTTCTTCTTTTGTCATTTATTTATGGAAAATTTCAAACACAAACAAAAGTAGACAGAATAATATGATGATCTCATGTTTCAGTAATGACCCATCACCCAGTTTCAATAATGAACAATCTTATTTCATCTATATTCTTATCCCTGCTCTCATTCCTTATTACTTTAAAACAAATTCCAGTATCATATTGCATCATCCATAGGATTTTTATATGCATTTCTTCAAGGTGTTTTGTCTTTTAAAAACATATTTAAAACACAGTTATGAAACCAAAAATCCCCAATAATGTCTTAATATCATCAAATACACCTGAACCTGTATTCAAATTTCCGATTGCCTCATAAGTGTCAAAATTTTTTAACACTTTACATCGGGATTCAATAAGGTCTCCACATTACAGTTGGCTGACATGTCTTTTAGATCTTTTTCCACCTATAGGTTCTTCCCCCATGTCTTTTATTATCATTATCATCATTATTGCCAGTTGTTTTAAAGATTTTTCAGAGTCTAGATTTTGCTGATTTTATTGCCAAGATTGTAGGAGTTTTAAAGACTCAATGTGATTAATATTCTACTTTTTTAGAGGGTAGTTGGAAGGGGTTATATAGGTGATGGTATTTTCCCATCAGGAAGCATATAATGTCCAGGTAACTCTCTATTTGTGATATTAGCAGCTACTAATAACTATCTGCAGTAAATCATCAGGAACCGCAAAATGGTTACATTCTAAATCTAATATCATTCCTTCTTCTCTCATTAGCTAAAATATTTCCATAAAGAGAAACTTTCTCTCACATACTATTTGCTTACCCTTTGGTACAGTTCAGAAAGGCAAGATCATTCACTGCTTTTCCCTTATTTATCACTTTCCGTGACAGTGACTTTGCTCACCTGTAACCTTCAACATTAAAAAGCAGAGACATTACTTTGCCAACAAAGGTCCATCTAGTCAAGGCTATAGTTTTTCCAGTAGTCATGTACGGATGTGAGAGTTGGACTATAAAGAAAGCTGAGAGCCGAAGAATTGATGCTTTTGAAGTGTGGTGTTGGAGAAGACTCTTGAGAGTCCCTTGGACTGCAAGGAGATCCAACCAGTCCATCCTAAATGAGATCAGTCCTGAGTGTTCATTGGAAGGACTGATGCTGAAGATGAAACTCCAATACCTTGGCCACCTGATGAGAAAAACTGACTCATTTGAAAAGACCCTGATATTGGGAAAGATTGAAGGCAGGAAGAGAAGGGGACAAAAGAGGATGAGATGGTTGGATGGTATCACCGACTCAATGGACATGAGTTTGGGTAAACTCCGGGAGTTGGTGATGGACAGGGAAGCCTGGTGTGCTGCAGTCCATGGGGTCACAAACAGTCGAACATGACTGAGTGACTGAACTGAACTGAACCTTCAACAATGACAAAATTATTTTTATATCATTGTGAACACACTAATTTAAATATATTAAATTCACTTTAATTCCCTGCAATTTTATCCTTATTGATGCTCTAATTTTCTAATGTGGGTTGGAAAGGGGTGAGAGCTTTTTCAAGTGGGCTCTTGATCCATCTCTGGTAGCAGTCTTCATTAGTTTCCTCATTTCTGGAAGACAAGATGCTCCAAGCTCATCTGTACACTTCCTTTCCCAGATCTGCTGTCACACATTTCTCCAAAGAAATGGTTCCTTTCAATAAGAAATGGTACTTTAAAGTCCAAGCTAGATTCTGAACTATTTTTTAGCAATTACTCTGCTTTCTTATTTCTTGGTTTTCTCTGTTTATGCCTGCCTCTTTCCCTCCTCTTCTTATTGAACTGTCAAGAACTTTTGTAACACAAATATATACTCCACAAACTATACAATAGTGAGATCACTAAAATAACCCTGAAATGAATTTGAAAAAGAAGAGCTTTTGGAAATTTCATACTTTGCTTTAAGTAATCCAAAGTAGATCTAGATTTCAAGGAAAACCCTAAAATTATTTTGTGCCCTGGGATCTTGTAGACTAAGAATGATTCTGAGATAAACTAGATTCCAAACTTGTCTGCACAATGGAATCACCTGAGAGCTTCAAAAAATTCTGATGCCTGTGTCCAATCCCCCAATATTGTGCTTTTAATTATTTTGGAGACTGAGATGATATTTGGATTTTTTTAAAGATACTAGTTTTTTTTTTCTAAAGATACTAGATTCTAACACAGAGAATAAATTGAGAATCACTATGGCAATACCGCATAGGCTTGTTTCTACCCAGAACTCACATCAACTGGGCTGTAATCTAGTACTTTAGAAGTAACACCTTATTCTTCCTTGTATGTAAAACTAAAAACTCTTTAGCAGAAATGATTCCTTCCTTTTAGAGTAATCTGCTATGCAAAGGCTGCTTAGGTGATACATAGAAAAATGACTAGATTGAGTCTACAACATCTTTAGATAAACTTAGCACTAAGCAAAACTGTGAAATAAGGGAAATTTTTATCATGCAGCCTACTCCCCTTTCTTAGTAGGTAACTTGATCTTTTGACATTGAGAGCAAGCTCAGTTGCCCAACTGTGTCGGACTCTTTGTGACCCCATGGACTGCAGTCCATCAGGCTCCTCTGTCCAAGCAATTTTCCAGGCAAGAATACTGAAGTGGGTTGTCATTTCCTCCTCCAAAGGATCTTCCAGACCCAGGGATCAAACTGATGTCTCCTGAATCTCCTGCATTGGCAGGCAGATTCTTTACACTGCACCACCTGGGAAGCCCCCTTTTGACATTATACCCTTTAAATCCAATCCCTAAACTTCTACCCTGAGAGCCCTATTACCTTGCTCTTATCCCCACTGAAGATGCTCTGTGGTCAGTCCCCTCGACAGTCCTCCCCTCACAAGGCAATGGCTTTACTTTGGCTATGTCCCAGAGGATAAAATACATTTCCTATTGAGATGTAACACCCATATACAAAAAGAGACAGAAATAAAACAATTTCACAAAAGAATAGTTATCCTTATTATATGAAAAGCACTATAATGTCTTCGATTCTATGCTAATTTCTTTTTAGAAAACTACTAGTAGCTACCTCTTGATTTCATGACACATGAATTAATCACAACCTACAGCATATTGCTGCTTTACATCCCCCATCCCCTTCCATATATCCTTAGTGAAACTGATTTTCATATTTCTAGAATAATTATGACTTCTACCTCATTACATCACCTTTTATGTTTTATCATTTTAAAAAGTATAACTGTGTTCTTTTAATAACAAGATAACTATTTTAGGGAATAGGAATGATTTGATATAAATAACAAATAACTAAAAACATTTGTTTCGTATTGCATTCCTTAGGTGCATTGTGTCTCCCCAGGTATTAACCATTTTAAACAATGCTAATAAAAGAAAGGAAAGAAACACTACTACTATGTTCCATTTCTTCCTAGGTAACAAGCTTTATTGTGGTGTGCTGTGCGCATGCTAGATCGCCTCAGTCACATCTGACTCTTTGCGACCCTACAGACTGTAGGCTACCAGGCTTTTCTGTCCATGGGATTCTCCAGGCAAAAATACTGGAGTGGGTTGCCATGCCCTCCTCCAGGGGACCATCCTGGCCCAGAGATTGAACCCACATCTCTTAGGTCTCCTGTACTGGCAGGTAGATTCTTTACCACTAGCAGCACCTGGGAAGCCCCTTAATGTGGTGGCCTAGAAATGATTGTCTCATCTTTTTCCTCTAACTCAATGGAATAGTGGGAACTCCCACATGATTATCAGCAAATTTGTCAGCAGGAATCTTCCAGGCCAGGAGGGAGAGAGATGATATATTCAAAGTGCTGAAAGAAAAAAAAAAAAAACAAGAATACTCTACCCCATAAAGTTGTATTTAGAACTGAAGGAGAGATAAAGAATTTTATAGGCAAACAAAAACTGAAGGAGTTCATCACCACTAAACTGACCTTATAAGAAATGTTAAAGGGAGTTCTGCAAGCTAATAAGAAAGTATGCTAAATTAGTACCAAGAAAACATATGAAAATATAAATTTTACTGGTAAAGGTAAATATATATATATAGATATATAGTCAAATTCAGAATACTCTAATATTGTGATGTACTCAGTCACTCATCTTCCCTGGCGGCTCAGACTGTAAAGCATCTGCCTACAGTGCGGGAGACCTGGGTTCAATCCCTGGCTTAGGAAGATCCCCTGGAGAAGGAAATGGCAGCCCACTCCAGTACTCTTGCCCGGAAAATCCCATGGACAGAGGAGCCTCGTGGGCTACAGTCCATGGGGTCACAAAGAGTCGGACACGACTGAGTGACTTCACTTTCTGACTTCTTTCAGTCACTCACTAACGTCTGACTCTTTGAAACCCTATGGACTGTAGCCTGCCAGACTCCTGTCCATGGGATGCTCCAGCCAAGAATAATGGAGTGGGTTGCCATTTCCTCCTCCAGGGAATCTTCCCAACCCAGGGACTGAACCCAGGTCTCCTGCATCTCCTACACTGGCAAGTGGATTCTTTACCACTGAGCCACCTGGGAAATCCGAGGTGTATAATGGTGTACCACTATTGTAATGGTGGAGGCAAATCACATACAACTTTGGTATAAATGTTAAAGGACAAAAGTATTAATAATAACTATAACCACAACAATTTGCTTAGAGGTATATAATATAAAAAGATGTAAACTGTGATATCAAAAACAAAATGGGGTAGGGGGTGCTGAGAGATAAACTCAAGTGAAATAAGAAATAAAAAAGGAGGTATTCCAACTGGTAACAGAGAAATAGTAAAGATCATAAGAAACTACTAAGAACAATTATATATCAATAAATTAGATAATCTAGAAGAAAGAAATTCCTAAAATAATACAGCCTACCAAGATTGAATTATAAAGAAGTACAAAATCTGAACAGACCAATTATTAGTAAAGATATTAAATCAGTAATCAAAAACCTTTCAACAAAGTCCAAAATCAGTTAGCTTTGCTCGTGCATTCTACTAAAGATTTAAAGAAGAATTAATGTCAATCCTTCTCAAACTCTTTCCAAAAACTGAAGAGGAGGGAACACTTTCAAACTCATTTTATGAAGACAGCATTACCAATGGGCTTCCCCAGTGGCTCAGCGGTAAAGAATCCATCTGCAATGCAGGAGAAGCTGGAGACGTGGATTCGATCCGTAGGTCAGGGAAGATTCCCTGGAGAAAGACATGACAACCCACTCCAGTATTCTTGCTTGGAAAATCCCATGGACAGAGGAGCCTGGCAGGCTACAGTCCATAGGGTCACAAAGAGTAGGACACGACTAAAGCAATGGATCATGCATTACCAATATCAAAGCCCAACAAGGACACTACAAGAAAAGAATATCAGGTTAATATTCCTGATGAACACAGATGCAAAAACTCTCAACAAAGTATCTGTAAACCACATTCAACTGTACATTAAAAAGATCAGACACCATGATCAAGTGGGATTTATTCCCAGGACACAAGCATGGTTCAAGATAGGAAAATCAATAAATGTGATACACAACTATGTAGGGAAAAATCAGTGTTCCTTCTGTTTCTCCTTTATTCTCACACTACAATCACACTCACATCTGACCCCAAATGTGTGTGGGGTTTGCCCCCACCAAGCAATTCTCTGTGACACCAGATGGGTGTCTTATAAGTTAACTCAATCCTGATACAAAGTACCTGGAGATACTTTCAGATTCCACAGGGTAAGGGCTCAGTTCCACAAGACTGCCCCACCTTACCTCAGATATCAACTGCAGGCCCATTTTTCACCTGTGCTTCTGACCAACTGGCTATAAATCAGAGGTTCTCACAAGCCATTCCTTGGGTTTCATTATTTTGCTTGAGGGACTCAAGAACTCAGAACAGTTATGTACACTTACCAGTTTATTAAAGGACATGAAAAATGATACAGATGAATAGCCAGGTGAAGAGATATGTAAGATAATGTCTTGAAGGATCATAGGTGCAGGAAATTAAGTTCACACGGAGTTAGGGTACATTACCCTTCCTGGTATGTGGGTGTATTCATCAACCTGAAAGATCTCTGAACCCCATACTATTGGGAGTTTTTTAGAGGCCTCCTTATGTGCTGCTGCTGCTCCTAAGTCGCTTCAGTCGTGTCCGACTCTGTGCGACCCCATAGACGGCAGCCCACCAGGCTCCCCTATTCCCGGGATGCTCCAGGCAAGAACACTGGAATGGGTTGCCACTTCCTTCTCCAATGCAGGAAAGTGAAAAGTGAAAACAAAGTTGCTCAGTCATGTACGACTCCTAGCGACCCCATGGACTGCAGCCTACCAGGCTCCTCTATCCGTGGTATTTTTCCAGGCAAGAGTACTGGAGTGGGTCGCCATTGCCTTCTCCACCTCCTCATGTAGGCATTATCAATTGTTAACTCCATTTACAGTCCTCTACCCTCTCTGGAGAGCTTTATAGGTTTTTGAACATATCCACATACTGGGAAGATGATACACTCCAACTCCATAAGGACAGAGCTCCTTCATCTGAGACCCTTCCAGACCTCTCCCAATGTATCTCTTTGTCTGGCTATTCATCTGTACCTTCTATCACATTTTTTAAATAAACTGGTAAATATAAGTCAAGTGTTTCCCTGAGCTTTCTGAGCTATTCTAGAAATTAATCAAACCTGAGGGGGGGTCATAGGGACCTCTGATTTATAGCCAAGTCAGATAGAAGTAACCTGAGGACCTAACACTTGAGACTGTAAGATGAAGTGGGGGTGGGGCAGTCACATGGCTCTGAGCCCTTAACCTGTGGGATCTGGCACTATCTGTAGGTAGATAGCATCAGAATTGAGTTAAATTGTAGACTAGCCAGCTGGTGTCACAGAATTTCATGGCGTGGGGGAAAATCCACACATCTGGTGTTAGAAGTGTTAGTGTGGCAGTAGCATGAAAGTAAAGGAGATAAACAGGAGAACTTAGGCTTTTCCTAACACAATCACATTAATAAAATGAAGGATAATAATTACATGATCATCTCAATGGATGCAGAAATTTGACAAAACTCAATATTCACTTATGATAAAAAAAACTCTCAACAAAATAGGTTTAGAAGAAATGTACCTCAACATAACAAAGCCATATATGACAAGCCCAGAGGTAACATCATACTGTCATGTTGAAAGCGAAAAGTTGAAAGCTTTTGCTCTAAGATCAGAAACAAGACAAGGGTGCCCTCTCACCACTTTTATTCAACTGGAAGTCCTAGCCAGAGCAATTAGGCATGAAAAAAAAAAGATATTCAAATCAGAAAAGGAAGTTAAATTGTGTTTTCAGACAGCATGATTTTTTTTTCTTTTCATTTATTTTTATTAGTTGGAGGCTAATTACTTCACAACCTTTCAGTGGGTTTTGTCATACATTGACATGAATCAGCCATGGAGTTACATGTATTCCCCATCCCGATCCCCCCTCCCACCTCCCTCTCCACCCGATTCCTCTGGGTCTTCCCAGTGCACCAGGCCCGAGCACTTGTCTCATGCATCCCACCTGGGCTGGTGATCTGTTTCACTATAGATAATATACAAGACAGCATGATTTTATACACAGAAAAACCTTAAAGACTCCACCAAAAACAAAACTGCTGGAACTAACACACAAATTCAATAAAGTTGAAAAATGTAAAATATACAAAATCAATTGTACTTCTATTCACTAACAAGAAGTATCAGAAAGAGAAATTAAGAAAACAACCCTATTTACATAATCAAAAGGAATAAAACACTTAGGAATAAATTTAACCAAGGAGGTGAAGAATCTGTACACTGAAAACTATAAACACTGATGAAAGACATTGAAGAAGATTACAAATAATGCCAAGATATTCTGTGTTCATGGTTTGGAAGTACTACTATTGTTAAAATGTCATTACTATCTAAAGTGAACTATGAATTTGAAGCAATTCTCATCCATATTCCAATGTCACTTTTCACAGAAATTAAACAACCCTAAAATCTGTATGAAACTACAAAAGACTTCAAAAAGCTAAAAGAATCTTGGTAAAGAAACTGTGCAACTCCTAGAGGAAAACAAATGTCTTTGACATCAGTCTTAGCAATGATTTTTCAATTGATACCAAAAATAAAAGCAAAAGAAGCAAAATAAACAAGTGGGACTATATCAAACTAAAAAGTTTCTCCTCAGCAAAGGAAAATATTAGCAAAATGAAAAGGTAACCTAGGGAGTGAGAGAAAATATTGGCAAACCATATATCTGATGAGTTAATATTCAAAATACATAAGCAACTCATATAACCCAAAAGCAAATGAAGAAATGACCCAATTAAAAATAGGCAAAGATTTGAATAGATATCTCTCCAAGGAAGACATAGCAATGATCAACAAATACATGAAAAGGTGCTTGACATCACTCATCATCAGGGAAATTAACATCAAAATCACTGTGAGGTATCACCTCACACCTGTTAGAATGGTCATCATCACAAAAACAGGAGATAACTAGAGTTGGCAAGGATGTGCAGAAAGGAGAACTCTGTACACTGTTGGTGGGAATATTAGTCAGTACGGTCACTATAGAAAACAGTATGGACAGGTTTCATAAAAAAATTTAAACACAGGGCTTCCCTGGTGGCTCAGCGGTAAAGAATCTGCCTCCCAATGCTGGAGACAGGGATTCGATCCCTGGGTCAGGAAGATCCCACATGCCACAGAGCAACTAAGTTCAGGTGCCACAACTATTAAGCCTGTGCTCTAGAGCCAGGGAACCACAACCACTGAGCCCACGTGCTGCAACTAGTGAAGCCCACACACTCTAGAACACACATTCCACAACAAGAAAAGCCACTCTAAATAGAAACCCATACACTGCAACGAGAAAAGCCCATGCACCAACAAAGACCCAGTATAGCCAGAAATAAATAATAAATAAATAAAATTTTTTAAAAATTAAACACAGAATTATAAAATGATCCAGCAATTCTATTTCTGGGTATATATCCAAAAGACATGAAAACAAGATCTCAAAAGAGATATATGCATTCCCATGTTCATTGCAGTATTATCCACAATAGCCAAGATATGAAAACTATATAAGTGTCTGTCAACAGATTAATAGTTAAAGAAAAGTGAAAGTGAAAGTTAGTTGCACAGTCATGTAAGACTCTTTGAGACCCCACAGACTGTGATCCCATGGATTGAGATCCCATCCTGCCACGCTCCTCTGTCCTTGAAATTCTCCAGGCAAGAATACTGGAGTGGATTGCCATTTCCTTCTCCAAATAAAGAAGATGTGGTAAATATAAACAATGGAATACTATTTAGCCATGAGAAAGAAGGAAATAACATGGATGGACCTTGATGGCATTATGAAAAGTGAAATAATTCAAACTGAGAAAGACAAATGCTATGTGACTTATACATTATTAAAAAAAAAAAAAAAGTCACCAGGTGACTAGTTAGTAATCCTGTACTGTATAACTAAGATTTGCTGAGATCAGAACTTCTGTTCTCACCAAAATAATGATGATGATGATGATGATGTAGTAAATACGTGAGATGATGAATGTGTTAACTAATTCAATGGGGGTGATCATTTCACAATGTATACATATGTTAAATCATGACACCATATATTTAAATAAATTACAATTTTGTAAAAAAAAAATCTAGACAGATACATGGATGATGGCCTTATTACTGGAAAACAATGATAGCTTATAGGCCTCCATATGGCTGTAAGAGAAGTGAGAAAAATATGAGAAGTTATTTAGGAATTAAAACCATGCTCCTAAAAGAATGGTCACAATATGCATGATCCTCTATACTTAGTACATTACGAGAACACATGAGTTACATTTTTGGTTCTCTTAAACTGGCAAAAGTATAATTCAATTAAGTAAGTTCACAGCTCAACTTACTTTTTTGTGTGTTCTGGGTTCAAACCCCTAATTTCAGGTGAAATTCTCTTCTCTATTCTTTTAGAAAACTTGATGTACTTTTTGCTGTCAATATCTCTTGATAATAAGTCAGCTGCAAAAGAATTACAGTCATCATCTGATGAATCAGTATTTTCTTCCCCCTGGAGAGCAATCAAAAGCCACTGTCAGCCATGTTCTCTTTGCATACATAAATTAAATATGACATTCTGAGTCAAATCATTCACTCTAGATCAATACTCTCTCCAAAATGGTGCTACCAAAAAGAATTTTGTTGAAAAGAGCTACTTAATGCATTAATTTGGATTAGGTATATATTCTAATTGACTCCAACTTTCCTTAGTGCACTATGCAGCTACAAATGTAAAGCATTCATGAATATATCTAACACTCACTGAATCTAGTTCTTATGGCACCATTAAACTTAACTTCATTAATTAAAACTTTTACTTTGCAAAAAACACTGTCAATAGGATGAAAGGACAATCCATAGGCTAGGAGAAAATATTTGCAAAAGATATATCTGATAAGGGACTGTATTCAAAGTATGTTTATTTGTATATTCAAAACTATACAAAGAACTCTTAAAGTTCAACCCAATTAAAAAACAGGCAAAAGATCTTAACAGACACCTCACCAAAGAAGATATACAGATGGTAAACAAGCACATGAAAAGATGTTCAACATCACGTCATTAGGGAATTACAAACTGAAACATCAAGATACCACTGCACATCTATTAGAATGGCCAAAATCAAAAACATAGACAATACCAAGTGATGACAAGAATGTGAAGCAAGAGGAACTCCCTTTCATTGCTGCTGGGAATGTAAAATGGCATAGCTATTTTGAAAGACAATTTGACAGTGTCTTACAAAACTAAACATACTCTTACCATACAATTCAGCAATTGCACTTTTCCATATTTACCCTGAGGAGTTGAAAACGTATATCCACACAAAAACCTGAACACAGACATTTATAGCTTTGTTCATAATGGCCAAAACTTGTAAAAAACTAAGATGTTCTTCAGTAGATCAAAGGATAGATAAACTGTGATACATTCAGATCATGGAATACTATTCAGTGCTAAAAAGAAATGAGCTATCAAGCCATGAAAAGACATGGCGGAATCTTAAATGTATACTTCTACATTGTGAAAGCAACCAATCTGTAAAAGCTGCATACTGTATGATCCAACTACATGACATTCTGGAAAAGGAAAAACTTTAGGGACAATGAAAAGATCAGCAGTTGCTGGTGGGAGTAGGTGGGGTGAGAAGAGATAAATAGGCAAAGCACAGAGGATTTTAGGGCAGTGAAACTATTAATATTCTATATAACATTTTAATAGTGGCTACATGTCATCACACATTTGCCCAATCCCACAGAATGTACAACATCAAGAATCAATTCTAGCACTTCTCTGGTGGTTCAGTGTGGGGACATGGGTTCTGCTTGCCAGTGCAAGGGACATGGTTTCAATCCCTGGTCTGGGAAGATACCATATGCCACAGGGCAACTAAGCCTGTGTGCCACAACTGCTGAAGCCTCCACACTCTAGAGCCCACGTGCTACTACTGAGCCTGAGCGCCTAGAGCCCATGCTCCAAAACAAAAGCACTGTAATGAGAAACCTGCACACCACAACTAGAGGAAGCCCTCATGCAGCAATAAAGACCCAGCATAGCAGAAATTAATTAATTTAAATAAAACTTTTAAGACAGAGGGGAACAAAAATCTGTTATCAAAGTTCAGATAAACAGAAAGAGATAGTGAGTAGAAACTTTAACAGAGGAAGAAAAGAATCTCTAAAACTTTACTGTTAAAGGTGAACCATTTGTAAAATATAAAGTATATAGCTTAAGGAAATAAACTGGTATGATATTTTGATATTGTTAATTTTTTAATATTTAAGAATTTATCTTCAAAATCAGTTTATAAGGGAACCATCAACATTGTATATATTACATGTCTCAGTAATTAGCCAAAGTAAAGTGTTAGTCACTCAGTCGTGTCCGCCTCTTTTCGACCACATGGACTGGACTGTAGCCCACCAGGCTCCCTATCCATGGAATTCTCCAGAATACTGGAGTGGGTTGCCATTTCCTTCTCCAGGGGATCTTCCCTACCCAAAGATCTAATGTAATGTCTCCCACATTACAGGCAGATTCTTTACCATCTGAGCCTAAAGGTCTAGACATATCCAGCCTTCAGTAATTAGCATGAAGTTCTGAAGTTATATTTTGGATTACTGTATAGGTACATGTCTTATATGGTGGCACCAGATCCACTAAAACAATAAATTTAAAAGATTAAGACTCTCAATTGACAATGTTAAATTTCACCTGAGCCTTGTGCCTCTGAAAAAACAGTGAAATTTAAAAGAATTCCCTCACTCTTTTGTGTTCTGGATAACAGCTGGCTGCAAAGAACCACCCTTCCTCAAATGATTTAGATAAGACTTACCACATACCCCTCATGTTTACCTATGACAAGGCCAAACATCTTCAAATTTTCCTTTCTTTGCCTCATAAATGATTAGCTGAACGGTCTCATCCCCACTTATTTATCAGGACAAAACACTTACTAAGCAAGGCTTGGTTAGGCTTCTCTCCTTCCTCCAAGCCCCAAAACTTTGGCCTACCCTCACCCTGAGCCATCTCGACAGAGGATGAGATGGCTGGATGGCATCACCGACCCAATGCACATGAGTTCGAACAAGCTCTGGGAGATGATGAAGGAAGCCTGGCATGCTGCAGTCCATGGGGTCGCAAAGAGTAGGATACAACTGAGCAAGTGAACACCACCACCACCACCCTGAGCCAGTGAGCAGGCAGCCCCTCTAGAGAACAGGCTAGCCTCTTTCTCTGATCTCTTTATCTGATCATGCTACTCCCCATTTCCCCATAACCAATGCTTCCGGGCCTTCTTCGTGCTCACTCAGTAGTGTCCAACTGCATGGACTGTAGCCTGCCAGGTTCCTCTGTCCATGTAATTTTCCAGCAAAGAATACTGGAGAAGGCTGCCATTTCCTTCTCCAGGGATCCCCTTCCCAACCCAGGGATCAAACCCAATTCTCCTGCATTGGCAGGTGGATTCTTAACCTCTAGCACCTAGCCTTATTTACACTCTCAATAAAAGAACATTCTTTTAATCACTTTGTTGTGCACCTGAAAAAAACAGAATATCAATCAACTATACTCCAATACACAATAAAAATATTAAATAATAAAATAAAACTTAAAAGAAAAAAGAAAATTTTTGTCTAGTCCTTGAGATGCTTGCAGATCTTATGGTCCCTATTTCAGTTAGTCCCCCCTCCTTCTATTTCAGTAGTCTCTTTCATCCCTTACAATAATCCTTTTGAACAAAGTCTCTCAATAATAAGTCCAGATTTGGTTTTTTATTGACATGATACTGGCCAATAGATAGGAATATCCCCTGAATCACAGATAAGAAGACTAGAGACACTTGGTATCTTTTAAATTGTTATTGTTGTTGTTTAGTGGTTAAGTCATATTTGACTCTTTTGCAACTCCGAGAACTGTAGCCCACCAGGCTCCTCTGTCTGTGGAATCTTCCAGGCAAGAATACTGGAGTGGGTTGCAATTTCCTGCTCCAGGGGATCACCCCCACTCAGAGATCAAATCGGCATCTCCTGCTTTAGCAGGCAGATTCTTTACCACTGAGCCACCAGCGAAGTCCCATCTTTTAAATTATCTTTTAGCTTTTGGTTAGACTGTCATGTTATTAATTACATTGTTTACAATTTCTCATGTAGGTTTAAATTCTTTGGTCTCCAAAAAAAATTGTGTCTGTCCCTTCCCCAAAAAATTAGTTTTATCATACATTACAGATCTCTTGATACTACATCATGGGTTGCTGGGATGAGAGTTCAATATATTTCTACTAAAACAGTTCAAAAGTCACCTCAGTTTTTAAACAAGATAGTATGACTATGTTGCTATGAATCTGCTTACTGATTATAGATGTGAAGTAATGTAAACAAATTTTTAAGGAAGAAAAGGAAGGAATCTTTACAAACCGTTTTGAAAAATACCTGGCAAAATAAATGAACTTTAGTTTCCATCTTTCTGTTTAGAGGTAAATTCTGCCCTTGAAGACTCAAAGAACTTGATGAACAAGTATGAATGAACAATAGCACAAAATGATTTCCTGCCAAAAAAAGAAAAATGAAAAATCATATCCTTGTTTAGGAGATGTAAGTAATTAAACTACCTGATGCTATTAGTTAAACGTGATACTCACTTATAGCACAATACCTAACAGACATTTCCTAACTCAGATACATATACAAAAGTTAGAAAAAGCAGTTAATAAATCATAAATCACAGGAGTTCATCCAGTCCCTTAACTTTGTGGTATAAGGAGGAGTAGTGAAATCCAAATTTGAATGGCATGAAAAACAGAAAGTTCAATATTTATTTATTCAAATAAGCCCAGTTAAGCAGAACTAGCATAGGTAGTAATTGCTAACATTATTTAATATTTACTGTCTATTAGACATTATGATAAACACTTCAACCACATTATTCCATTTATTCCTCACAATTACCTTTCAAGGAATTACCATTATCTCTATTTTACAGATGAGGAAAATAAAGACTTGGATCAAATTGCCCAAGATTCCACAGCCAACAAATAGTAGTATCAGATTCTGAATTCAGGCAGCCTAACAGCCTGAGGTCTTCAGCATCACACAACACTGACTCTCAAAACAATACTATTGCAAACAAAAAATTTTTTATCCAGTTCCACACTATGGAAATGTGATAACCAACTTTAGAAATTTCCCAAATTTTTCACAATATATTTTAATCATATCTGACCCAAGTGTGTTAGTCGCTCAGTCATGCCTGACTCTTCGTGACCCCATGAACTGTAACCCGCCAGGCTCCTCTGTCCATGGAATTCTGCAGACAAGAGTACTCAAGTGGGCAGCCATTCGCTTCTCCAGGGGATCTCCCCAACCCAGGGTTCGAGCCCAGGTCTCTTGCATTGCAGGCAGGTTCTTTACTATCTGAGCCACCAACCCAATACTCATATCTGAGTCATGATTTATTACACTGCTGGCTACATTACATTGTTAGTTGCAATTATTAGTGTCTTTTTCATATTGTAAAGTTTAACTGTAAGTATTAATATTCTAATAGACAGTATTTTAAAATATTTCTATAATATGTAATTGTAATTACTGTTGAATATGGTAAGTCCAAAATTTCTGGAATTCAAAACATGTTAAAAATAAAATGAAACCACATTAAAAATATGCATCTCAGAAGACATTAGAGGTTTTATAGGTCTCGCCAGCAAACCACTCTATGTAACCTCTTCTAAAACTTCTCTAACCAGTTCAATCTTCACCTTTAAACTTCTTAGCATAGCACTTACTGTCTTCAGTATTCTTATTGTCTTCATTATTCAACTTGCATTAATCATTTGCCTTGTATTTTTATTTAATTATCACATGTATAATTCTTACACCAATTAAAGTCTAAATTTCTAAGGAATGGGCTGGTATCTCATCATTCTTTGAATTATTTCTCACAGAACCAAGCACAGTACTATAAAGGCATTGCAAAAGAAGGAAAGAAAAAAGGCTGGTAGGAAAGAAGGGAGGGAAGGAGAGAAGCAGAGAAGAGGGAGGAGAGGAAGGAGGAAAGAAAGAGTGAAAGAAGGGAGGGAGGGAAGGAGGGAGGTAGGAAGGGAGGGAGAGAGGGAGCAAGGAAGGAATTCAGTCCCTTCTGAGTTTACATACCAAGAACTCTTGGGTCATCAAAGTACTTAATTAAGCAGAGTAAGCATGACAAATAAACTTTGAAAGGAAGAACTGTTTCATAATTATTGGTCACATTATCGAAAAGTTGGCAGGTCTCAATCTGCTGTATAAACTGGATACCACATAACGCTCTCCAAGCTAAGAGAAAAGATAGCAAAGGAAGTCTCTTCCCCATAACTGTGACAACACAATTGTTTCTCAACTCTTCAGATCATGACAGATATGTGAACTTGCAAGGGCAAACCAAGAAAAATGAAAAGAACTGTATCCCTTTTCTCCAATCCATTCTACCCCTCCATCCATAAATTCAGCACACATACATTGCACACTTACCATGTGCAAGGCTTTCTTCCAGGCTCTGGGGATAAAGCAGTGAACAAAACAGAGAGAAAAAAAAACTGCCCTCATGGAGCTTACATTCTAACCAGGGAGAGAAACAATAAAATAAATAAATATATAGCATAATATCTATGACAAGTGCTAAGGGGGGAAATGTAAAAGAGTGAGAGAAATATTAAGTCTGGTGTTGAGGAAGAGATGCAAAGAGCAGATGTGATAGCCAAGGAAGACCTTACTGAGCAGACTTAAGAGTACAAACCTGAAGGAGTTAAAGTGGGGAGCCAATGCGTAACTTAAGGAAGTGCATTTCAGTCAGAGAAAAAAGTAAGTATAAAGGCTCCAAAGCAAGAAGGAGCTTGAATGTTCTGAAATGGTAGGAAGACCCATGAGGCTGAAACACTGCAAAGGGGAAAGAAGGGAGGGAGAGAAGGGATCAGAGTGGTGAAGGAAGGGAGGCAGATCATGAAGGGCTCCTGTATTACAGCAGGTACTTTGGCCTTTACTCTGAGAAGACAGGAAGCCATAGGAGAATTTTGAGCAGAGAAATAACATGACCTAAAGTCCTTTCTGAAAGGATCACTCTGGATTCTACAAGTAAGAAAATCTGGTGGGTCCTGGGTTCCTGAAAGTCAAGTGAAAAAAAGCAGTCCAAAAGAAGAATGAGTAATCAGCTCTGACAAATGCTGTCTCTAAGTCAAGTAAGATGAGTACTGAATGCTTCACTAGATTCTGCAACATAGAGGACACCAACCACCCTAAGAGGAGCCATTTGGGTGTTATAAGGAAATAATATCCTTGGAGTGAATTGAAGAGAGAATGGGGAACAGAAATATGAGACAACTCTAGGGGTTATTCTATAAAGGGAAAGAGAAATGAGGTAGCAGCTGAGGGCTAAGCATGGCTATGAGGTTTTAAGATGGGGAAAAATAAAGGCATGTTCATATGCTGATGGAAATAACCTAGCAGAGAAGCAAAAACTGACCACATAGGAGGGGGGAATTACTGGAACAATATTCTCAAGTAGAAGAAAAGAAACAGGATTTAGGACATAAGGGAGGATTTGGCCTTAGCTAAGAACATATTCATGATAATAAGAGACAATGCAGAGTAATGCAACATAATTGCATGTAGACTAGGTGAGTAGATCTGGTAATGGGAGCTTGTGGAAATCATCTCTGATTGTTTTGGTCTTCTTAGTGAAACAGGAAGCAAGGTAATCAACAGAGAATGAGGATGAGACAGTGAGCTGAAGGTTTGAGGGGAGTGGCATTATTATAAAATAGTCATTTAGGAGAGTGGAAGAAGTGATTACAGCCCAGTCACCTCATAACTGTCCAAATGACAATCATCAAAGTCATTACATTACAAATTACAAAGTCATTACATCACATTACAAATAACAAATGTTGATGAGCATGTGGAGAAAAGAGTACCCAAGTACACTGTTCCTGAGATTGTAAACTGGTACAGCCACTACGGAAAACAATATGAAGTTCTCTACATAAAAATGTAACACAATCCAGCAATTCCACTGCTGGGTATGTGTCCTAAGAAAATGAAAACACTAATTAATATTCCTGTTTTCAAGGTGGAGAACTGAGATTCAGAGATATTGAGAAATATGCCTATGACACAAAGCAAGTAAACAGCGTAGACCAGGTCTCCTGGCTCCAAATCTTATGTTTTCTCTCCAAATCATATACCTTGCTGAGATTCAGAAGGCCCTTGGTTATAATTTAATGATGAACATATTTCAGTATTTATTTCTATTTCCTAGTATTCCTTTTTTCACTACAGTTTTAGGGAAAACAATTTGATCTGCTTCAATTTTGTAAAAAGAGAAATATAAATAGATAAATATACCTATCTGTATTAAAGAAAAACTGCTCTCATTTCTGTAAAATATTGTCAATTAAATAACATTTTAACGGAAATTGGGGGGGGACATATGATTAAGGGCTTGGGGGCAGGTAATGTTACACGAAATCACAGAATCCCCAACACTGCTAGAATGAACAAACCTTTCCAGTCCAACGCCTTAATTATTAATTACACATGAAACTAACGCATAGAGAGACTTATTTGCCCACACATAGTACAGAAGAAAATGCATACTAACCAACTTCAGATCTCTGACTCACAAGTTCATGAATATTGTGTTGTTATTCAACCACTACATAGTGTCCAACTCATTTGTGAGCCAGGGGCTCTTGCCCACCCAGATATCGAACCCACATCTCTTGCATTGCCAGGCAGGTTCTTTGCCACTGAGCCACCCGGGAAACCAAAGTCCAGGGATAGTTTTACAAAATTCCATTGCTTCTCAGTAAACCAAGAAGCAGAGCTGAGGCAGAAAACAGAGATTCTGACTCCGAAAGGCCAAAACAAGGCTTCATTTTGTTTCGTGCCTCTAGGTTGACATTGCGCTTCCACCGTTGCACCTTGTCCCTTGGTGAATTATCACCACCTTCACAGAGTAACTGGCTGCTTCTGAGGGTGTCAACTCCTCACATAGTACCTTCCACTCTTTCCTTTCACACCGCCCCTCTCACGAGACGCCTCACTCACTCGCTCACTCCTTCCGTTTTGTTGATGGCACACATCCATTAAACTGCAATCTTACAACCACGTCACTGCATCTACTGCTACTAACATGAAACTTGTATCACTACCTCCCCCAGGAGCTGCCTTTGTTTATAACAAACATTAAGTGAAAATCCATTTCATGCAGAACTCTGCGCTGTAGAGGATTCTAACAGGCCCTGCTCCTGCGAAGTTTGCGACTTCTCTAGGAATAAAGCGAACAAGTAGAGAAGAAAATCACCCCCCAAGACGGAAACAAGTGCTCCAACGGAGGCCGAACGTTCTGCGAAGAAGCATTCAAGTCCCCCACCACAGTGACCGCCACCCTTCCAGAACCACCACCATTGCTGAGGGGCCGCCGGCTCCGG